CTGTCCCGAGAGCTGGCCCTGTCCCCACACCCCTGTCCCGAGAGCTGGCCCTGTCCCCACACTGCTGTCCCGAGAGCTCCTGTCCCCACACTGCTGTCCCAAGAGCTGGCCCTGTCCTCACATCGCTGTCCTGAGAGCTGGCCCTATCCCTACACCACCGTCCCCTGAGCTCCTGTCCCTGCACTGCTGTCCCTGTCCTTGTACCGCTGTCCCAAGAGCTCCTGTCCCCACACCGCTGTCCCAAGAGCTGTCCCTGTCCCCACACCGCTGTCCCGAGAGCTGTCCCTGTCCCCGGTCTGGTCTGGCAGGTGAACGCCTGAGCACCTTTACAAACCCACCTTCAGTCGTAGAGCGGGCATTGGAGTTAGGCTCTAAATGAGAATGGTTTCTCATGCATTGCTCTCACGTCCTCAGTAGCACAGGGACAATAACGCCACACGGGTCACTGATCCACAGTCTTGATCCCTGTAGCAGAGACTCCACAACACAGAAAGCACCAGCCACAGACAGGGTTTCCGTCATCTCTCTTACAACAGGGCAAACTTTTTTCTGAATGAAACTGTTTGATTTAGGTACTTTCCGCTTTTTGCTTTTACAACGAAAACGCTAAAATTCAACATTCGTACAGCTCTTCATCCACCGGCAGCTAATGTTTGCAGTTCACCGCCTTGTCGTTTTTAATCTTGCGAACAGACCAGACCTAAACCATAGACAGACGGATAGACACGACTTGTAGTCTCCCGGTCGGAGAACAGTCGAAAACGCCTTCAGTTCTTTAAAGCAGCCTCTGGCGCCACCGTGTGGAAGAGGGGAGAGTTACAGCCGCGCGGAGTAGCCAGGAGACGCTCGCTCCACCGACGAAATGGATCGCGACAGCGTCCTCGCACCCTGATCCCCTTCCTTTCTGATTAAAACAAAAAAATGGTGTGACACGATTGTTGCTCTATGCCCAGACCACTTAATTTCACCTACTCATTCTACTAAGAAATATGGTGAAATTCATATGCTGATGTTTGTTTTATACGTACTTTAAATACGTATAAATACGTATGTCTGGGTATACCACTTCATCCTCTTCATCATTATCAAGAAAACCCGGCCCAGACGGGCATAATTATGGATAGCCGGCAGGTATCTTACAGAACTGTGTCATTTTGGGATATTGTTTTTTTTACTCTAGATTATTTTTTAGAGTGGTCTCAGAGATACTCTTATCTCCCGGACTGTCGGTCTTTTGTGTGTTTTTTTATTGACGTGACTGAAGCTTTTAACTGCGAGCCCAGCAGTTTTGGGAGGTAACAAAGGTATTTATTCCCTTTCACGTCGTTTCAAACATTACACAGTTAGTGTGTGTCGTTATGTTTCGCCCTCTCGTCGCGACCGAGAACCGCTGGGCGTCCTGCGTCTCTTTATTAATTCATGTTTTGTGTTGCAAACTTCTCGAAGCGACGGCCTTTCAGAATAACGCACCCGCGTACAGCATCGCAGGTTGTGTGTTTTTAACAGAAACACTCCTTGTGGTCTCAGACGGTAATTCTGTGGGATTTTCGGAGTCACTCCGGGAGAAGCCAATTAAAAGAAACTCGGTTGTTGGTTGGAAAGGGGTTAATTAAGCAACTTCCCTTGAACAATTTGCGTTTGAGTCAGGCGGCGTTCATTAATTTCTGCTCTTGGCCTTGGCACTCAGTGTGAAGCCAACAGTGCGGAGAGGAAATGGAGTAAGTGCTCAGATGCAACTTTGCTGCCCATTCACCGACTAGGGCATAAATAATGCAGCACAGGCTGTACGACAGCTTTGTGCCGAGTGTAGCGATGGGTACTTGCGTTACCGCGCGTCGCCGGCAGAGGGCGGTGGCGCTGCGCTCGCAGGCTGGCCCGGAGCAGGGTGACCGAGGTGCAGTGTTGTCATACGAGATCTTCCCGGCGTGGAAGTGTTTTGCGTCGTGGTCGGTAGGACTGCAGAGACGTAAGGTAATTATACTGAGAGAGGTTTAAAATATTAAAATGTAGGTCTTTTTCAGAGGTCGAAGTTAGCATGGCCGTGCTGATGAGTCCCGAGAAGAGGAAAACTGCCGTCTGTATCCGCTAACGTGAGAGTTGATACAGTGTAGACTAAGCCGCATTATAAGTCTTTAAACGCGGGTTTTCCAGCCCTGGTCCTGGGGAGCCGAAGTCCAGAGAGTCTTAAAGGACTCCTTTTCTATTTTACCAACCGGAAACACGTTGAAATTAGAGTAAAATCCTGGGTTCGGCTTAAGATGGGAGGCATTCGTATAAAGGAGCTCCCAGACCTGGCCAGGCTATCCAGCTTTATTCGGGATAAACCCGATTCAAAAACAACGCCCGCAGCGCGTGGGTGCGTTCTCTCCTCGAGCCCCCCCGCCCCCGCAACACCTCCGCCTGGGTCAAAGGTCAGCCAAAGCCTCTCCCATCCTGAGCATTATACCACAGTGAAAATACGACTGAACATGAACTGCAAAATACTGCTTAGCAAAATATGTCAGCTCAAACCAAACATGTCTCGCATTACTGACCGGTGGCGAGTCGCATCGCCAAACGGATTTACAGACGAATTGATCCAGCTCTTGGGGATGTGGTTTATTGTTCACCCCGTAAAACATGGGGCTCCTCCATGACGTAAGCTGCAAACCCCAAAACAGGACTGTTCTTCTTTCTGTCGTGAAGTGGACAGAAAATATGCATATGGTACAAATACGGACTATATATGTGCGCATTTTCTCTCTATACAGTATATGTATATAAGACTGAGTATCTGGTGATCAGCTGGAGATATTTTCTCTGGTGAATGCCGGTAAACTGTAAAAGGACGTGAGAAATCATTGTTCAAATCTTGCCCATGAAAGGCATAAGCTGATTATGATGTGAGAATCTGGTCAGGGCATACTTGGACACTATGAGGACCAGTCTTAAATAGTGGGGCTCGCAGTTCCCCTCTTTTCCTGCCCCGGCCCGAGGCTGGAGGAGACCCAGGCCCTGCTCCTGCTCCCTGGACTGGGGAGAGAGTGACCTGCGGGGACAGGGGGTCCCCAGGACAGCTGCTGAGTGCCCAGGAGGGACCCTGTGTCCGGATGCTGGTGTCCAGGTGAGAGGAGTGGTCACTGAGCAGGACAGGGGTAATGTCTGGGTGTAGGGGGGCGTAGGTCAGTGCCCAGCGCTGTGGTGGAGGTACAGTAAGGCTGCTTGCTTTGAAATAAAAGGGGAGTGGGGGCTTTCAATTTATTACAGCTGACTCCATTGTTTGAGTTGAGTTGTGCTTCAAGTATCTGTTAAGCTGGATGCTGTACCTACACTATACTGCAGGAGCAGAGTGACACCCAACTGTTAAAAATGTAACAGAGTGAGAAAAACTGAAGTACAAAGCCTTCTTCACGTATTCACACTAACAACATGTATTTCTAAAGGAACAAGCAGAGTTTAACTGTGGAATGGCACGTACATACGGTACACACATGGGCAGCATCTGATTTCTGTGCGTGTTTATTTAGCTGATGCTTCTATCAAAGACGGCTCACGTCCGAGCCAGTTGTTGAATTGTGAATATTTCAGTGTAAGACGGGGGGGCTGGCTTAACACAAACTTCTCACTCCTCAGGTTTCTGTACAGACCAGAGAGTGCCGAGTGAGATCGGGGCGTTGCGGTGTGTTGAACTGGGACAACGGGCTCTTCTCCATCCCTGCAGCAGGGCAGAAGCGCTGACGTGCTCTTCTTCTTCCTAATTCTACTTCCTTTGTCTGGCGGTTTTATCCAGAGCGAGTTAGTTTTAGCCCGTTTATACGGCTGGGTATCGTACTCGAGCAGCTCGATCAGCTCCTGGCTCCTTGCTCAAGCCCCCGACAGCAG